GGGGGGAGGGGGGGGGGGGGGGTGCTCTTAATGTTTTGTACACTCAGTGTATACAGTATATACAGTGCCTTCAGAAAGTGCCTTCAGAAAGTATTCACACCCCTTGACCTTTTCCACATTTTGGTGTGTTACAAAGTGGATTAAAATGGATTTAATTGTCGTTTTTTGTCAACGATCTACACAAACTACTCTGTAATGTCAAAGTGGAAGAAAAATGCAAAAAAAATAAATGGAAAATGGAAAATTAAACACTAATATATCTTGATTAGATAAGTAGTCAACTCCCTGAGTAAATGCATGTTAGAATTACCTTTCTGGGTACGTTTCTAAGAGCTTTGCCCATTATTCTTTGCCCAAAATGCTAGACAGACATTTTCAAGTCTTGCAATAGATTTTCAAGCCGATTTAACTCAAAACTGTAACTAGGCCTCTCAGGAACATTCAATGGCATCTTGATAAGCAACTCCAGTGTATATTTGGCCTTGTGTTTTAGGTAATTGTCCTGCCGAAAGGTGAATTTGTCTCCCAGTGTCTGTTGGAAAGCAGACTAAACCAGGTTTTCCTCTAGGATTTTGCCTCTGCTTAGCTCTATTCCGTTTATTTTTATCAACAAAAAAAACTCCCTACTCCTTGCTGATTACAAGCATACCCATAACATGATGCAGCCACCAGCATGCTTGAAAATATGAAGAGTGGTACTCAGTGTTGTGTTGTGTGGATTTGCCCCAAACATAACGTTTGTATTCAGGACAGAAAATGTACTTCTTCATCTTTTGCAGTATTACTTTAGTGCCTTATTGCAAACAGGATGCATGTTTTGGAATATTTTTATTCTGTACAGGCTTCCTTCTTTTCACTCTGTCATTTATGTTAGTATTGTGGAGTAATGTTGTTGATCCATCCTCAGTTATCTTCTAAACAGCCATTAAACTCTGACAGTGTTTTAAAATCACCATTGGCCTCATGGTGAAATCCCTGAGCAGTTTCCTTCCTCTCCCGCAACTGAGTTAGGAAGGGCTACTGTATCTTTGTAGTGACTTGGTGTATTGATACACCAGCCAAAGTGTAATTAATAACTGCACCAGTACAGTGATAGTACTTGCATACTTGCATAGTAGCAATATCAAAAACAGAAAGTGTCCAGATAAAAATATGTTATAAATATTTGATCATTATTAGATGATGCTTTCCTGACACACTTGTCTAAATTGATGGGTCATGTGAAGGAAATGCTATAACCACCCCTCACCCACATCTAGCTAAGTGGATCGGTCACTATTGTCTAGACATGTACACATGTTCATGAAATACAATCGATGGCCTTAATCACCCCCAGACACACCTGCTAATTTGATGGGTCATGTAATTATCTGGCCAAAGTGGAGTCTTTTGTTGAGACATGTAACTAGCTAGGTAGCTAGTTAGCTAAACAATGAACCGGCATAACCCCAACTCATACTACTACCAATACAAACATTGTCATAGCTGTAGTATGACTCTGCAGGTAGCTAAAGCTAACAAACTAGTTTAATGTTAACTAGCTAACATTAGGCTATAATTAGCAATGCAAATGATTTTCTGATTCGAATAATGTTACTACACAGATCATGCACGTAACGTTAGCTAGCGAGCCAGCAAGCTCACTAACATTATGCTTTAACTTGCAATAAAAATGACTTTCTGACAAAATTAGAAACTTATATCTGGAAAATGTTGCTAGACTCTTACCCGTATACATGAATGAACGCTTCACGGCAGACTGGAACCATTTAACTCTGTTTTGTTTGTAGCTACATCTTGTTTGGCCAACTTTGTGTCAAGTCACTCCGGTTCATACTGACCGTGGCGTGTGCAGAAAGTAGCCCATCAATTTTTCCTACTGATCTGGCGCGGTAGAAAGGACTGTCAACACATACTGAACAGCTCACGTAGACAGAAGCGGGCTACATGGCAGACAAATCCAAACTCATCTCCCGGCATGTCCAGCCCATCCATTATCTCAGGCAATCATGGCTAGTGGGAAGGTTCCTGTCTTTTTCCATGGCTAAACCAACTAGGCTCCTAATTTAACAATTTGTTTCATATTTATGGATGGAATACACATTTTTAGTTTAAGGCACATGAAAGTTCACATGTTCTAGAAGGCATTTCTGCCAAAAAAACACATTCGGATAAAAAAGTAATGTTAACGTTCAAATGCTGCTCCTGTGAAGTAGTGATGTGCGCAGTGGCGACCCTTCATTCAATGTAAACAATGTAAAAATAAATAAAAATTATTGAGTTAATAAAGCCACATACAAACATGGTCTCTTTTTTTCTTTCTTGAGTAAGGCAGCTCCAAAATGCAGGTGTTTCAGCCTAGCTCAGTGCTTTCTGTGGTGGTGTGCATGTAGCCTATAACCTGTTTTAGAGAAATGTAATCATTGAATTCTGTAAGAGCTTTCATTGTCTGCTTATATGCCCCCTTTATTTATCCTACAGTTCTGACTTGGTCTAGAGGGAGAACACTGTAAGAACGGCCCATGTTCTGAATTCTGTCACTGTACATTTCAAAAGTGCCAAACAAATAGTTATATTGACTACGTCCGTCCTAGCTCTCTCATTAATGTCTTAATCGAAATTACAGATTGCCTCTTATCCGATTGTCGTCCCCTTATGCCGGAGTTTGTACATATCAATTGTCATAAAGAAACCACATTTGTTTAAGCAAGTCAGCTGTATCAGCTATGTTCTTTTAAAAGGCAGTAAATGAGGCTGAATGAACTGTTTCGCTGCCAGACAAGGCTCCGCTGATAGCCAGGTGTAGCAGTGGTAAGGTGTTGGGACTCTGCTGTTGGGACAGCTTTATGTAGGCCCTAACAATTTGTGGGCACCGTTTGTCACCGTTATAGTGCAATTAATGTATTGCTTGGTGTTGTGTTGTGGCTTTGCTGTTTTTTTTGGCCCCACCAAGATTTACATGCTAAAATCGCCACTGGACGTGCGACATACGCCTAGTTTCCTGAAACGAGTCACAATTGTGTGTGGGGTACAGAGATGGGGTAGTCATAAAAAAAATTATGTTAAACACTATTATTGCACACAGAGTGAAGTGAGTCCATGCAACTTAGTATGTGACTTGTTAATACATTTTTACTCCTGAACTTATTTAGGCTTGCCATAACAAAAAGTTTTCAGTGTTTCATTTTTTTATGAATTTGCAAACATTTCTAAAAACACATTTTGACATTATGGGGTATTGTGTGTGCATCAGACACAAAATCTGAATGTAATAGTCAAGGGGTGTGAATACTTTCTGGTTATGACGGTCTTCATCCATAATCGTCTGTTACATGATTACCAGCCCATCAGTCATTGGGTCTCTGCATATGTGGTTTCTATCAAACATACAAAAAAAGGGTCAGGCAAAGAGTGACGTAATCCACTCTTGGACAATGTGTTACATGCACAGACACACACAGGCACACACACGCACGTGTGGTTCGCGTGTAAGCCTGTTGCCGTACGCCTGTTGCCTTTGCACTCCCTGTTGTAGATACATCAGCTGCAAGCTGACATACTCCAGACCTCTGATCTCTGCTTCTTATCACACACAGACACAACCTGAAACGCCCAGCTTGAAGTTCAAGAAACTCCTTACGCAGCAAGGTTAGGACAGGAGGAGGGGGAGAGGGGAGGGAGGGAGGAGGGGGAGAGGGGGAGGGAGGGGAGGGAGGGGATGAGGGGAGGAATGGGGGAGGGAGGAGGGAAAGAGGGGTGGGGAGGGAGATGAGGAGGGAGGAAGGGGAGAGGGGGTGGAGGGAGGAGGGGGGAGGAGGGGGAGAGGGGGTGGGGGGAGGAGGGAAAGAGGGGGGGGAGGGAGGGAGGGAGGAGGGAGGAGGGAGGAGGGAGGAGGGAGGAGGGAGGAAGGGGAGAGGGGGTGGAGGGAGGAGGGGGAGGAGGGGGAGAGGGGGGGTGGAGGGAGGGGGGGCGGAGGGGGAGAGGGGCGTGGGAGGGAGGAGGGGGGTAGAGGGAGGAGGGGGAGAGGGGGTGGAGGGAGGAGGGGGAGGAGGGAGGGAGGAGGTAGAGGGAGGAGGGGGAGGAGGGGGAGAGGGGATGGAGGGAGAGAGGGGGTAGAGGGAGTAGGGGGTGGAGGGAGGAGGAGGGGGAGAGAGGATGGAAGGAGGAGGGAGAGAGGGGGTAGAGGGAGGAGGGGGAGGAGGGAGAGAGGAGGGAGAGAGGGGGAGGAGGGGGAGAGGGGGAGGATGGATGGAGGATGTATCTTTGTATCTGCTCTCTCTCCACAGTTACTGTGGTGTGTGTGTTTGTCCTGCTGCCAACTACATGAGACAAGCTGCTCTCTTTAATCAGAGGGTAGTTTTCTTCTTTACATGAAGGAGTCACTCTCTTGTCCTTTACAGTAAACCAGTGTGTGAGGGTATTGGCCGTTCAACCCCTCCCACCCATCCCTTGGCATCCATCCATCTCTCTTCCTTCCTCTATTTGACTCTTCTGTCTTTCCTCTCAGCAGTGGTTTGCTTTCCCCCAACCTTCTCTCACTCTCTCTCTCGTTCTCTCTCGCTCTCCATCTTTCTTTCTCTCTCTCTTTGTTATTCTACAGTTTACATCTTGTTAATAAGGAAACTGAGGTTTCAGGCTCTGGGAAGGGAGGGAGGGTGGTGGTGTGGCAGCCGTCTTGTCTTCCAGGTCTACATTACTCTTGTCAATTAGGATAAATATTATCTCAGCTCACAGAATTTAACACCAGTGGAGAGTCAATCGACTTTTCCTCTTTTTAGCGATAGGTCAAATGTAGGGGCGTCAGGTCATTAGAATATTTTGGGGCGTGGTTTGTTTACAGCTCATTTTGTGTAGCCGTGAGTGAGAGTGTCATTCCAGTTTCTTTAATCTGTTATGTTATGCTATTACATGCTGTATATGATTATGGCCAGTGACTGTGTCTTGTGAAACTCAAATATGGCGTTTTGTCAATTGAGAACTGTTGACTAAGTCTTCAGGGACCCCCAGCCATTCCGGAGCTAGAACACCTGATTCAACTTGTTAATATACACATTAATAAGCAATATAATTTGGCTATTAAACCAGAATAAATAAAGAAACTGTATGGTTCTACAAAGAGCCTTTGAGATTATTTGACATTCTCTCATTAAGGTTCTATAAAGAACCATAAAAAAGTGTTCTATATATCCCCAAAGGGGTTATAACCATAGCGGAACCCTTTTTGGTGCTATATATCATATTTTTTTGTTTGTTCTTTATAGAACCATACAGGTTCCATTTAGAACCGTATGAGCATGGTTCTTTATAGAACCTTAAAAAAAAGGAAACATATAGGACAAAAATGGTTTCGCTATGGTTACAAGCCAAAGGACCCTTCTTTGGCACTATATAGAACCGTTCGTTTTTTTGTGTGTAAGGGTCAGGGAGAAATCAAAACCAGCAGGATTATGAAGGCCTCTGAGTTGTTCACCCCTAGCCTATAGCAGTCTATAACATGTGATTAGGATAGGAATACCATGGCTAAGACAAAACGATTTTGACTTTTCCAAAAACATATCATGCTACTGTAATAGTAGTATTAACACTTTGGTTCCCATCAAAGTCTTTCAAAAGTATTTGTCTATTCACCAAGCATTCACCCTTCTTAGCAGACCTCTTTTGAGATAGTAGCTGTGAGTTCCTCAATAGAGATTGAGTGTTTGAGTGGGCAGTGGTGTAAAATACTTAAGTAGAAATACTTTAAAGTGCTACTTAAGTAGTTTTTTGTGGGTATCTGTTACTTTACTATTTATATTTTTGAAAACTTTTACTTCATTACATTCCTAAAGAAAATGATATACTTTTTACTCCATACATTTTCCCTGACACCTAAAAGTACTCGTTATATGTTGAATGCTTAGCAGAACAGGAAAATGGTCCAATTCACGCACTTATCAAAGAGAACATCTCTGGTCATCCCTACTGTCTCTGATATGGTGGACTCACTAAACACAAATGCTTCATTTGTAAATTATGACTGAGTGTTGGAGTGTGCCCCTGGCTATATGTAAAAAATTAATAAAAAAGAACATTGTGTCATCTGGTTGGCTTAATATAAGGAATCTGAAATGATATATTTTACTCCTGAGTGGCGCAGTGGTCTAAGGCACTACATCGCAGTGCTAACTGTGTCACTAGAGATCCTGGTTCGAATCCAGGCTCTGTCGCAGCCGGCCGCGACCGGGAGACTCATGGGCGGCGCACAATTGGCCCAGCGTCGTCCAGGGTAGGGGAGGGAATGGCCGGCCGGGATGTAGCTCAGTTGATAGAGCATGGCGTTTGCAACGCCAGGGTTGTGGGTTCGATTCCCACGGGGGGCCAGTATAAAAAAATATGTATTCACTAACTGTAAGTCGCTCTGGATAAGAGCGTCTGCTAAATGACTAAAATGTAAAATATTTTGATACTTAAGTATATTTGAGCAATTACATTTACTTTTGATACTTAAGTATATTTAAAATCAAATACTTGTACACTTTTACTCAAGTAAAATTTTACTAGGTGACTTTCACTTTTACTTAAGTCATTTTCTAATGAGGTATCTTTAATTTTACTCAAGTATGACAATTGGGTACTGTGAGTGGGTAACAGCAAAAAGTACAGGTCAATAGTGATGACCCCCATGGCCCTGCTAAAAAGCTTCAGCAACTTCCACTATCAATGAATGCTTCTAAACATCATCAGTTAACAATCAAAGTTGTATATTGGAGTATGCTATGAGTAGAGCTCGTGATCTGGTATAGAGATGAAGACGAAGCAGAGAGATCAAGAGCTAGTATGATATACAGCGCTCATCGCTCGTACTCTCTCTCTCTCTCTCTCTCTCTCTCTCTCTCGCTCTCTCTCTCAAACTCACACACACACCTAATTGTTTTCCTAGATGGCTATTTCCTTCTTGATTAGACGTCAGAGAGTATGATATGAAGAGTAGAGGTTTGGTCTCGTAATCTGGTCAACTCTATTCACATTTTCTGATATAATGTAATCTAATGGTGCTGTATGTTCCTGACTGCCAGTGATGCAGTGCCATACTGTCTGTCTGTCTGTGTGTGTGTGTGTGTGTGGTGTGTGTGTGTGTGTGGTGTGTGGTGTGTGTGTGTGTGTGTGTGTGTTGTGTGGTGTGTGTGTGTCTGTCTGTGTGAATTGGGGTTGTGCTATTTGGGTCATTTAAGGTCACATTCTTGAACAGTAACAGCACGAGTGTTGAAGAATGTTTAATATATGGTCTGACAGAAGCAAAAAGGACACACACACACACATACACACTCTGTGAATATTATTGATGTGTTGGATATAAAATGCCTTTCATGTTTCTCACACACACACACACACACACAAACACACAAACACACTCCATATGAAACAGCATGCTTTTGATCTAGCTGTGAGAGTGACAGAACACTTCTCTGATGGTCTTATCATTGGATGGTGTTTGGGTGTGGGGGGAGGGTGGTGTAGGATATGAAAGATATCCAGGTAAATGCCACTCGCATCGAGATCTCTCCGATCTAGTCTCCTCTACCTCGCTCTCTCTCTCTCTCTCTCTCTCTCTCTCTCTCTCTCTCTCTCCCTCTCTTCTCATCACTTTCCCTCCATCTCTCTCTCCACCAGCCTGAGGAGCTGACCAATGTGTTGGAGATCAGTAACATAGTGTTCACCAGTCTGTTTGCATTGGAGATGTTACTCAAGATGCTGGTCTATGGACCATTTGGTTACATCAAAAACCCCTACAACATCTTCGACGGAATCATAGTGGTCATCAGGTAAGCAAGGCAAATTGACAAATTAATGTATAACTTATGGCACACTGCCAGTCTTAATATTGGTAGGGCCTCACTCTTCAGATCAGGGCCCGTATCCACAAAGCCTCTCAGAGTAGGAATGCGGATCTAGAATCAGGCCCCCACCTGTCCATATCACGGCATTCATTATGATCTAAAAGGTGAAACTGATCCTAGATCACCACTCCTACTCTGAGATGCTTTGAGGACACGGGCCCACGTTTGTCTTACCAATAAATGGTTGATCCTATAACCGACGGCGTCCTATCTCTCTCCCCAGTGTGTGGGAGATCGTGGGCCAGCAGGGCGGTGGTCTGTCTGTGTTGCGAACCTTCAGACTGATGCGTGTGTTGAAGCTGGTGCGCTTCATGCCTGCTCTGCAGAGACAGCTGGTGGTGCTGATGAAGACCATGGACAACGTGGCCACCTTCTGTATGCTACTCATGTTGTTCATCTTCATCTTCAGGTAGCTATTGACTTTCCAAGAATGGAATTAAAAGGGCTTTGGATACAAGCTGACACACATTTTTATAGAAAGAAAGGGGGGTAGCCTTTATTGTCCTCGTCTTAAAGTTATGAGCTAAAGAAGGAGGAGGAGAGGAGAGACAAATTAGGAGGAAAGGAGTTAGAGAAGAAGTGAGTGGGGTAGAGTTGGGACTGTATTCAGTTAGAAAGGAGTATTGGTCTAATGGAGAGTACTAAAGATTACTGGTCTAATTGAGATTACTAAAGAGTATTGGACAAATGGAGAGTACTAAAGCGTAATGGTCTAATGGAGAGTACTAAAGAGTACTGGTCTAATGGAGAGTACTAAATAGTACTGGTCTAATGGAGAGTACTTATTAGTACTGGTCTAATGATGAGTACTAAATAGTACTGGTCTAATGGAGAGTACTAAAGAGTGCTGGTCTAATTGGGAGTACTAAAGAGTACTGGTCTAATGGAGAGTGCTAAAGAGTACTGGTCATATGGAGAGTACTAAAGATTACTGGTCTAATTGAGAGTACTAAAGAGTACTGGTCTAATTGAGAGTACTAAAGAGTACTGGTCTAATGGAGAGTACTAAAGAGTACTGGTCAAATGGAGAGTACTAAAGAGTACTGGTCTAATGGTGAGTACTAAAGAGTATTGGTCTAATGGTGAGTTCTAATGAGTATTGTTCTAATGAGAGTACTAAATAGTATTGGTCTAATGTAGAGTGCTAATGAGTATTGATCTAATATAAAGTACTGATGAGTATGGTTCTACAGGAGAGTACTAAATAGTAGTGGTCTAATGGAGAGTACTAAAGAGTATTCATGTAATGGAGAGTACTAATGAGTATTGGTCTAATTGAGAGTACTAAAGAATACTAGTCTAATGGAGAATACTAAAGCATATTGGTACAATGGAAAGTACTAAGTAGTATTGGTCTAATGGAGAGTACTAAGTTGTATTGATATAATAGAGAGTACTAAAGAAGATTGGTTTAATGGTGAGTGCAAAGGTGTATTGGTCCAATGGAGAGTACTAAAGAGTGTTGTTCTAATGTAGAGCACTAAAGAGTACTGGTCTAATGGAGAGTAGTAATTAGTATTGGTCTAATGGAGATTACTTGGCAGTATTGATCTAATGTAGAGTACTAAAGAGTATTGGTCTAATGGCGAGTACTAAAGAGTATTGGTCTAATGGAGAGTACTAAAGTGTACTGGTCTAATGGAGAGTACTAAATAGTACTTGTCTAATGGAGAATACTAAAGAGTGTTGTTCTAATGTAAAGTACTAAAGAGTATTGTTCAAATGGAGAGTTCAAAATAGTATTGGTCTAATTGAGAGTTCTAAAGAGTATTGGTCTAATGGAGAGTATTAAAGAATATTGGTATAATTAAAAGTACTAAGTAGTATTGGTATTATGGTGAGTACTGAAGAGTGTTGGTCTAATGGAGAGTTTTAAAATTGTTGGTATTTTGGAGAGTACTAAATAGTATTGGTGTAATGGTGAACACTAAAGATTATTGGTGTAATGGTGAGTACACAAGTGTATTGGTCTAATACAGAGTACAACCGAGTACTGGTCTAATTGAGAGTACAAAAGAGCATTGGTCTACTGTAGAGTACTAAAGAGTATTGGTCTAATGTAGAGTACTAAAAGGTATTTTTCTAATGGAGATACTAAAGAGTGTTGTTCTAATATAAAGTACTAAAGAGTACTGTTCAAATGGAGAGTACAAAATAGTATTGGTCTAATTGAGAGTTCTAAATAGTATTGGTCTAATGGAGAGTATTAAATAATATTTGTACAATGAAAAGTACTAAGTAGTATTGGTCTTATGGAGAGTACTAAAGAGTATTGGTCTAATGGTGAGTTCTAGAGAGTATTGGTCTAATGACAGTACTAAATAGTATTGGTCTAATGTAGAGTGTTAGCGAGTATTGGTCTAATGTAGAGTACTGAATAGTATTGGTCTACTGGAGAGTACTAAACAGTATTGGTCTAATTGAGAGTACAAAAGAGTAATGGTCTAATGGAGAGTACTAAAGAGTACTGGTCTAATGGAGAGTAATAAAGAGTACTGGTCTAATGGATAGTACTAAACAGTACTGGTCGAATGGAGAGTACTAAAGAGTATTGGTCTAATTGAGAGTAATAAAGAGTACTGGTCTAATGGAGAGTACTAAATAGTACTTGTCTAATGGAGAGTACTAAAGAGTACTGGTCTAATGGAGAGTACTGAAGAGTGTTGGTCTAATGGAGAATACTAAAGACTATTGGTGTAATGGAAAGTACTAAGTAGTTTTGGTCTAATGAGAATACTAAATAGTATTGGTCAAATGGTGAACACAACATATTATTGGTGTAATGGTGAGTACACAAGTGTATTGGTCTAATACAGAGTACTAAAGAGTACTGGTCTAATTGAGAGTACAAAATAGTATTGCTCTACTGTAGAGTACTAAAGAGTATTGGTCTAATGGAGAGTACTAAAGAGTGTTGTTCTAATGTAAAGTACTAAAGAGTACTGTTCAAATGGAGAGTACAAAATAGTATTGGTCTAATTGAGAGTTCTAAAGAGTATTGGTCTAGTGGAGAGTTTTAAAGAATATTGGTACAATGAAAAGTACTAAGTAGAATTGATCTTATGGAGATTACTGAAGAGTGTTGGTCTAATGGAGAGTTTTAAAGATTGTTGGTCTTTTGGAGAGTACTAAAGAGTATTGGTGTAATGGAGAGTACTAAGTAGTTTTGGTCTAATGAGAATACTAAATAGTATTGGTCAAATGGTGAACACTAAAGATTTTTGGTCTAATGGAGAGTATTAAAGAATATTGGTACAATGAAAAGTACTAAGTAGTATTGGTCTTATGGAGAGTACTAAAGAGTATTGGTCTAATGGTGAGTTATAAAGAGTATTGGTCTAATGTAGAGTGCTAACGAGTATTGATCTAAAGTAGACTACTGAAGATTGTTGGTTTTTGGAGACTACTAAAGAGTATTGTTCTAATGGAGAGTACTAAATAGTATTGGTCTAATGGAGAGTACTAAAAATGATTGGTTTAATGTAAAGTACTAAAGAGTTTTGGTCAAATGTTGAACACTAAAGATTATTGGTGTAATGGTGAGTATTAAAGAGTATTGGTACTATTAAAAGTACTAAGTAGTATTGGTCTTATGGAGAGTACTAAAGAGTATTGGTCTAATGGTGAGTTATAAAGAGTATTGGTCTAATGTAGAGTGCTAACGAGTATTGATCTAAAGTAGACTACTGAAGATTGTTGGTTTTTGGAGACTACTAAAGAGTATTGTTCTAATGGAGAGTACTAAATAGTATTGGTCTAATACAGATTACTAAAAAGTACTGGTCTAATTGAGAGTACAAAAGAGTATTGGTCTACTGTTGAATACTAAAGAGTATAGGTCTAATGGAGAGTATTAAAGAGTATTGGTACTATTAAAAGTACTAAGTAGTATTGATCTTATGGCGAGTACTAAATAGTATTGGTTAATGGTGAGTTCTAAAGAGCATTGGTATAATGGAGAGTATTAAATAGTATTGGTACTATTAAAATTACTAAGTAGTATTGATCTTATGGCGAGTACTAAATAGTATTGGTTAATGGTGAGTTCTAAAGAGCATTGGTATAATGGAGAGTATTAAATAGTATTGGTACTATTAAAATTACTAAGTAGTATTGATCTTATGGCGAGTACTAAATAGTATTGGTTAATGATGAGTTCTAAAGAGCATTGGTATAATGGAGAGTATTAAATAGTATTGGTACTATTAAAATCACTAAGTAGTATTGATCTTATGGTGAGTACTAACGAGTATTGGTCTAATGATGAGTTCTAAAGAGTATTGGTATAATGATCGTACTAAATAGTATTGGTCTAATGTTGAGTGCTAACGATTATGTATCTAATGTAGAGTGCTAATGAGTATTGGTCTATTGGAGAGTACTAAATAATATTGGTCTAATGGAGAGTTATTGGCAGTATTGGTCTAATGTAGAGTACTAAAGAGTATTCGTCTAATGGAGAGTACTAAAGAGTATTGGTCTAATGTAGAGTACTAAAGAGTGTTGGTCTAATGGAGAGTGCTAAATATTATTGGTCTAATTGAGAGTACTAAAGAGTACTGGTCTAATGGAGAGTACTACATGGTACTTGTCTAATGGAGAGTACTAAAGAGTACTGATCTAATGAACAGTACTAACGAGTACTGGTCTAATGGAGAGTACTAAAGATTGTTGGTCTTTTTGAGAGTACTAAAGAGTATTGGTCTAATGGAGAGTACTAAAGAATATTGGTACAATGGAACGTACTAAATAGTGTTGGTCTAATGGAGAGTACTAAGTAGTATTGGTCAAATGGTGAACACTAAAGATTGTTGGTGTAATGGTGAGTACAAAAGTGTATTGGTTTAATGGAGAGTTCTAAAGAGTACTAGTCTAATGGAGAGTACTAAAGAGTACTGGTGTAATGGAAATTGCTTTAGAGTACTGGTCTAATGGCGAGTACTAAAGATTGTTGGTATTTTGGAGAGTACTAAAGAGTATTGGTCTAATGTAGAGTTCTAAAGAGTAATGGTCTAATGTAGGGTACTAAAGAGTTTTCATCTAATGGAGAGTACATAAGAGTATTGGTCTAATGGAGAGTACTAAAGAGTACTGGTCTAATGGAGAGTACTAAATAGTACTTGTCTAATGGATAGTACTAAAGAGTACTGGTCTAATGGAGAATACATTTACATTTACTAAAGAGTGTTGGTCTAATGGAGAGTACTAAAGAGTACTGGTCTAATGGAGACTACTAAAAGGTATTGGTCTAATGGAGAGTACTAAAGAGTGTGGATCTAATGTAGAGTACTAAAGAGTACTGGTCTAATGGAGAGTACTACAGAGTATTGTTCTAATGGAGAGTTCTAAAGAGTATGTGTCTAGTGTAGAGTATTGAAGTGTATTGGTGCAATGAAAAGTACTATGTAGTATTGGTCAGATTGAGAGTACTAAATAGTACTGGTCTAATGAAGAGTACTAAAGAGTAGTGTTCTAATTGAGAGTACTAAATAGTACTTGTCTAATGGAGAGTACTAAAGAGTGTTGGTCTAATGGAGAGTACTAAAGAGTGTTGGTCTAATGGAGACTACTAAAGAGTGTTGGTCTAATGGAGAGTACTAAATATTGTTGGTCTTTTGGAGAGTACTAAAGAGTATTGGTCTAATGGATAGTACTAAATAGTTTTGGTCTAATGGAGAGTACTAAAGAGTATTGGTCTAATGGAGAGTACTAAATAATTTTGGTACAATGGAAAGTACTAAGTAGCATTGGTCTAATGGAGAGTACTAAGTAGTATTGATCTAATGGAGACTACTAAAGATGATTTGTTTATTGGAAAGTACTAAAGAGTATTGGTCTAATGTGAATACTAAATAGTATTGGTCAAATGGTGAACACTAAATATTATTGGTGTAATGGTGAGTACAAAATGTTATTGGTCTAATGGAGAGTTCTAAAGAGTATTGGTCTAGTGGAGAGTATTAAAGAGTATTGGTGCAATGAAAAGTACTAAGTAGTATTGGTCTAATGAGAGTACTAAATATTATTGGCCTAATGTAGAGTGCTAAGAGGTATTGATCTAATGTAGAGTTCTGAAGAGTATTGGTCTACTGGAGAGTACTAATTAGTATTGGTGTAAAAGGAAATACTAAAGAGTATTGGTCTAATCAAGAGTACTAAAGTGTATTGGTCTAATGTCGAGTACTATAAGTTATTGGTCTATTGGATAGTACTAATGTGTGTTGTTCTAATGTAGAGTACTAATGAGTACTGGTCTAATGGAGAGTACAAAATAGTTTTGGTCTATTGGAGAGTACTAATAAGTATTGGTCTAATGGAGAGTACTAAATTGTACTGGTCAAATAGAGAGTACTAAAGTTATTGGTCTAATGGAGAGTACTAAAGTGTATTGGTGTATTGGAGATTACTAAAGAGCATTGGTTCAATGGAGTACTAAAGATTATTAGTCAAATGGAGATTACTAAAGATTATTGGTCTAATGGAGAGTTCTAAAGAGTATTGGTATAATGGAGAGTATTAAAGGGTATTGGTTCAATTAAAGGTACTAAGTAGTATTGGTCTAATGGTGAGTTCTAAAGAGTATTGGTCTAATGAGAGTACTAAATAGTATTGGTCTAATGTAGAGTACTAATGAGTATTGATATAATGTATATTACTGAAGAGTATTGGTCTACTGGAGAGTACTAAGTAGTATTGGTGTAAAATAAAATACTAAAGAGTATTGGTCTAATGGAGAGTACTAAATAGTATTTGTCTAATGGAGAGTACTAAAGAGTATTGGTCTAATGGAGAGTACTAAATGGTATTTATGTAATGGAGAGTACTAAAGAGTATTGGTCTAATGAGAGTACTAAATAGTATTTGTCTAATGGAGAGTACTAAAGAGTATTGGTCTAATGGAGAGTACTAAATGGTATTGGTCTAATGTAGAATACTAATGAGTATTGATATAATGTATAGTACTGAAGAGTATTGGTCTACTGGAGAGTACTAAGTAGTATTGGTGTAAAATAAAATACTAAAGAGTATTGGTCTAATGGAGAGTACTAAATAGTATTTGTCTATTGGAGAGTACTAAAGAGTATTGGTCTAATGGAGAGTACTAAATGGTATTTATGTAATG